ATAATTTAAATAAGAAAACAATAAAAAATAAAAACAAAAAAAGACAAAAAAAAATTGAATGATTATAATAAACTTAAGGATGCATTTAGTACATATTAAAGGTGTTATTAGCCTTTCTCTTAGAATTCCTTACCAAAACTCATAGAATGAAACAAACACAATAATGGAATTGAAAATTTCAACTCCTTCAAATTATATTGGATTCCAATGAACCAAATGTCACCTAACGTTTTATAAAATATTTTAATAAATTTCATCGATATTCGAATGTCTAATTTTTGAATGTGTTAAAAATGGATGGTGGTATAATCTAATCAAAATATATATGATATACTAACCAAATTATCGAGGGTAGATCTTCATTATCGAGGCAAATAGTGTTGGTTTTCTAAAACTGATGCATGTAGCTCCACCAAATTAATTTTTTAATATTTTTTTGTATTATTTGGTCAAACATGAAGAGGATCACCCCCATGGTCAAACCATGCCCCCCGAGAGGCGATCCGTATGGTCATTTTGGCAATATTAAAAAAAGTTGGCTATTTCGTTAATACATCATGTATATTTTGGTCGTTTTGGTGATTTTTTCTTCTTTTATAAATTCAACAGTATAACATTTTAAGGGATATATTTAGACGTTTGTCAATTTATAAAAACAAACAGTCTTATTGATTCAGATTTCAAACTTTTAACTCCATATTTTATCAATCAAAATTAAAATAAGATTTTATACTTCAATATTTCCATCAAAAACTTGCTAAACATAATTTTGTACGTGGGCAAAATGCATAAAATAGCAATCTACTTTCATAAATTTTTTTATTATAGCATTGTACTTTCAATTTTTCTTATTATAGTAATGTACTTTCAAATTATTTTTTATTAGGACATTGTACTTTAAAAAATTTACTCATTATAGCGTTGGGTAACCTTTTGATTTAAGTGTACCCATTATACTAGGTTTCCATGCCACCTTATTGTCCACGTAGGCTGTCCACATGTACTATAGTGATGTGATTTTCTTACTACATCATTGTACTTTCAAAATTATTTTATTATAACATTTACTAGTTCTTATTAAACACTGTATTTTTAATTTTAATATTTAGATATTTTACATGTTTTTTTAATAAATGTATTAAATGAATTAAAAAAATTCTAAATTATTCATTAATATACCAATATCAATAAAACTAGTAGAACACAACTTATCTTGCTAATATTTTTAAAAAAATATATGTTTTTTGAAAAAAAGGAAAATAAGAATTGTTCTTTTTTTTACCAAAAAATATTATCTTTACTTGACGAATATATTATATTTGTTTAAAAACTTTTTACTTGACGTATGAGTATATTAAATTAATTAGATTTTTTAAAGTATTTATTAATATAACAATATTAAAAAATTGTAGATAACAATTTATTTCGTTAATATTTTAAAGAGAACTTTAAAAGATATATATTTATTTGAACAACACAAAATAGGAAAAGTTGTCTTTTTTACAAATAAAATATATCCCGAAAATAATGTTGCATATTTATTTTAAATATTTTACTCTAAGAATATTTAATTTAAATGCAACTTAATAAGAAAAAGTAAAAAAATAATTAAATTTTTTTTAGATAATAACAATGAAAAATGAAAATCACTAATAATAATTTGAAATATGTATTTATTTTAATTTTAGTTAAGTCATCAAAATGATGTGTCATTTACATCACCTCATTAGAGCCACACAAGCAAAAAAATCAAAGGATTAACCGGTTTAAAAGGTAACAGGTTACCCATTGTTATTATGGGTAGATTTTTTAAAATACAATGTCTTAATAAAAATAATTTGAAAGTACATTACTATAATAAAGAAAAACAAAAATAAAATGCTATAATAAAATTTTTTATAAAAATAGATTGCTATTTCATGCATTTAATATTTTTTGTACGTGATGCGGACACTGCACCGGCCCACATAGAAAAGGTTTTGTATTTTCGTTTCATTAGATACAACTATAAGCCTGTTAAAGTGAAGCCCAACATGACAACCGAGTCCAACGACGCCGTCAGCACGGGAAAACCCTCAGCACTCGCCGACCGCCGGCTGCTGCTTCTTCAGGCCTTGCCGACGGCGAGCGTCTCCCCACGTCTCCGGTCGCATCTGACTGAACTCCCTCTTCTCTGACTTCAATCGGCAATCAACTCTTTTCTTTTGCGGTTCAGGTATGCATCTGAATCAACTCCTTGTATGTTGGTTTGAATTTTTTTATTACTGACAGATGGAATTGTATAATTAATAAGAAATAATCAAAAGATTAGAATTAAAAATCCCATGTCTCCACTCCCGTTATGAATCCTTTGCCAGTTTGTCATACAATTTTGGAGAAGAAAATGAAGTAGGTGCGTATCAGTGAAAGCAGCAAGAAAATACATGAATATGAAAGACTTTCCTTTGAATGGATTTGTTTATTTTTTTCTTTCTGGGTACATATTTGTTTTTCCAGTGAGTACTTAAAGAAAGCAAGCATAACTCTCTTTGCATTGTACATAGAAGATTATACAAGGAGTAGCTTAGGGCTTGTTTGTGGGCAGCTTAATGGGACTCTAGCTTATTCAGTCAGCTATACATGACTGTTTGGTAGTGGCCTAATAATATAGAAATTGGCTTATTTGGTAAGCTTTTAGGATGCAGAAAGCCAAACTTGTCCCTCCTTCCATCGATGAAGAACCCCTCAAACAAAAACTTTCTCAATATGTACAGACATATATTAACACACAGACAGTTCTATCCATACGGGATTTGATGAAAAACCAACCAAACAGCCTCTTAGTTGTCTCGTTGCTTGTACTAATTATGTTCTTCACTGCAGGAAGAAACCTATGACAGCTGCCACATTTTCTACCTGTATTAGTTGTTGCTTGTATAAAGCTTGATCACATCATGGGATCCATAAAGGAATGTCCTTGTGGCTGTAATGGGGTCTGTTCGTGAGGTGGGTCTTCTAGTTATCTCATATTCAAAGTTGCATGGTTATCCTGGTTTTTCGGGTACTTTAATCTTCATTTTCAGATCAACAACCCTAAGCCCTGGCCCGTGTGTGTTTGTCTTAATATTATAATTCATGTGGTTTTTATATAATCATTACCCGGTTCATGAGGATACTATTAGGACTTCATTTAACACTCTTTTTTTCCCAAGGGAAGGTTATGTAATCATACGACTATATGCTGCATCAGAAGTTGTTGATCAACATTTGTGACTTGGGATTCTTCTTGTTGATTTCCATTGCGTTAAATACTCTGTCGATTTTCCAAAAGTTTATAGCATTGCTTTTTGACCCGCCCCTCTCTTCCAAATTAACATTAATCTAGATTTTAGACTGTCTCTTTTGCATAAATGGCATACGAGTCCGATGCTATATTGTGTTGATTCAAGCTCATATCCTATAATTATCGTAGATCGTTTGTTAGATTTGAAAAGTTAGTCGTATATCTTAAATGTTCATTCTTTGTTTCAAGTCTTGGTTGGAGTCTGGCAAGGATAGTCAAAATAAGAAGAAAAAATCACATCAAAGCACTTCGTTTTGCATCAACGGATTGCAAACCTCTATCGCTTTTGATCCTTTCTGTTTAAGATTGTTGTATTGGATTCTTTATTTTAGTTTTCTTTAGGTTTTGTTATCACTTGATGTATTTGTTTAACCAATTGACCTACTAAACATGATTTTTAATTTATTATACAGGTCACTCTTTGCATTGTCGATGTTACTTGGGACTAAACTCAAACACCTTTCCTGCATCCCCATCATCCGCACCTTCTCACACTTCTCCACTCCCCACCACCGTCAGCGCCATCAACCACCACCTCCCCAACAAGACCCGTACACTCTTTTAAAAGAGGACCCAATTCAAGTCCTATCTGATTTGTGGGTCCGAACCTTCTCAAACCAAAACCGAACCCACTTCTCCAACCTCACCGGTTTCCTCTCCAAACTTGACCTATGGCTCTTAGCCTACCAACGCACCTGCGCCCATTTCACCGGATCTTTCCCATCGCGCAACGCCATCCAATCCCACGTCCTCACTGACCTCCTCTCTCTCCGCAACGCCGTTGTGCAGGGTCAGTTTCAGTGGAACATGAAAACCCATCCTTACATTCAAAACCCTAATGATAAAACCCCCTTTTCGAAGCTTTCGAATCGCAAACTTCGTACGATTTCAAACTCTGATGACTCTCCATTTCAAGATTCCGTGGTTCAAGAAGTGCTTTTAATGATTCTGGAGCCAGTTTTTGAGCCTAGCTTTTCGTCCAAATCACACGCCTTTCGCCCCCAGAGGAACGCCCATACAGTAATTCGAACAATCAGGAGCAATTTTGCTGGATATGTATGGCTCTTAAGAGGTGATCTAACCATACTTTTTGACAACTTCGATGTCGATTTGATGATGGGATTTGTTGAGAAAGGTGCGAAGGATCAGAAAGTATTGAATTTAATCAAATCAGGACTAAAAGGGTTACCGAAATCGGTTCAACCTTCCAATGATCAGAAATTCTGGAGGAAGAAAACGAAGAATCTAAAGAGAAAAAAGATTCTTGATGAGGATGAAGCGAAACCCGACCCTTATTGGCTAAGAACCTTCTACGATTTTGCACCTGAGGAAGCTGCTAAGGTACCGAATTATGGTTATTGTGGAATATTAAGTCCTTTACTTGCTAATATTTGTCTTAACGAATTAGACCACATGATGGAGGAGAAAATCCTTGGCTTTTTTCGGTTATCCGATGATAATTCATTAATGAATAATCCATCATGGCCTGAGTTTGTTCGTGGGGGTGGGAAAGATAAGACTAAAAAGATGGATTATATTCGATACGGGGGTCATTTCTTGATCGGGATTAGAGGTCCAAGATCGGATGCAGTGGAAATTAGGAACGACATAATCGAGTTTTGTGCAAGCAAATACGGGTTAAAATTAGATGAATCGAAGGTGGAGATCGAACATGTAACTAGAGGGGTTCAGTTCTTGGATCATGTAATTAGTCAGAGAGTAATTTATCCAAATATTCGTTTCGCATCGAACGGTGGTCATATTGTGACTCAAAAAAGTGTCGGTGTTTTACTTTCAGTTACCGCTAGCTTACAGCAGTGCATACGACAGTTTCGACGGCTAAAATTTGTTAAGGGTGATAAAGATCCCGAGCCATTACCATGTTCTCCAATGCTTTATTGTGGTCAAGCTCAAACCAATTCACAGATGAATAAGTTTCTTGAAACAATGGCTGATTGGTATCAGTTTGCAGATAACCGGAAAAAGGTTGTTGGTTTCTGTGCGTACGTGATTCGAAGCTCCGTGGCTAAATTATACGCTGCTCGATATAAAATGAAATCACGAGCGAAGGTGTTCAAGAAAGCATCACGCGATCTCAGCCGTCCACTTAGGCAGAGTATGGATAATCGGACTCCAGAGTATGCAGAACTATTAAGGTTAGGACTTGCTGATGCTATTGAAGGAATTAGATTCTCTCATATGTCTATGATTCCTTCGTGCGATTATACCCCGTTTCCGAGGAACTGGATTCCGGATCACGAGCGGGTATTGCTTGATTATATCAAATTACAAGATCTAAAATTCTTTAGTCAGCTACAAAGATCAGTGAAAGAACAAAGCCTGAGTTTGCCTCAAGACATGCTAGGTGAGATTGTATGGGACTACAAAACTCTTGGAGCACGAAATCGAGGTTTTAGAAAAGGGACAAAACCAAACGAACCCAGTACATCCTACCTAAAGGTGGGATCTAGAGAGTAGGATGTACGCAGATCTGACCTCTATTCTAAAGAATAGAACGGTTTCCTTGAAGACCCATGATTGTGAAAGATGTGTGAAGAAAGGGACAAGACCAAACGATCCCAGTATATCTTACCTAAAGGTGGGATATGTAGAGTAAGGTGTACGAAGATTTGGCCTCTATCCCAAAAAAATAAAACAATTATTTCCTTGAAGACTCCAGGATTGTGAAAGATGTGTGAAAAAAGGGACAAAACCAAACGGACCAGCATGTATTACTTGTAGGTGGATATGTAGGGTAAAATGTACGCAGATCTGACCTTTGTCTCTAAGAATAGAGCGGTTGTTTCTGTGAAGACCCCTGGATTGTGAAAAATGTGTGAAGAAAGGGAAACAAGAGTTTTCAAAAGTTACAAGCATGTGGTATTTTCATAAGTCCCTTTTCTTCTAACCTTGTGTATATGCTACAATTCTAAAGGATTCTTATGTGCATTCAAATTCATGTGTGAATAATTGTTGTTGTATATGTATTGGATTATATGTTCATAATTGTTAACAAGTAGACTAAATTCTAGTGTAAGTTAAGGTATTTGGCATGTCATTAATGTTTGATTATTTGTCAAATTACTAATATACCCTTCAATAAACACTAAAATAAAGGGATGTGATCCTTGTCATTATCATTATCAGTTTACTTGGTGTCATGAAAAGATGCAATTAGATGCAAGTTTCATGGGAGTCAAGTTTTATCTCTTTCAACTTATGATTTGTTACAATAATCATGCTATGAGCAGTTTGTTGGATGTTTTTGGTCCGAGTTTAAATCACATTGAGGGATTTTATTGTTCCAAGTTTGGAGTTTTACGAAAACAACCTCTTTATCTATTGCCATACTTCGACTCTATGAGACTGATACCGGGGCCATAACATGCCATATCCCACTTTTTGGGGGTATGTGACCTAGACATCAGGAAATCAAACCTCATACTTGAAATATTACTAGCCCTTGTAGTGAAAGTTAAGGGGCCGTTTACCAAATACTTACCCGGTAAGCGCTTACCGGTGAAATTTAACACTATCATTTACTTACCGGGTAAGATCTTAGTCCACCAAAACGGTTTCGTATGCAACAATTTACCCGGTAAGCGCTTACCATGATAAGAGTCGTCGCCCTCACTTACCGGGTAAGACTCTTGGTCCTTGTTTCGCTCTTATCGGGTATGATTATTGGTCCTTACCATATTCATGTGCTTACCGTGGTAAGAGTCATCGCCCTTACTTACCGGGTAAAACTCTTGGTCTTTGTCTCGCTCTTATCGGATAAGATTATCGGTCCTTACCATATTCATCCGGTAAGGTAATGTGACTTGGTGTTCACTTACCCGAGTAAGCGTTTGATAAACAACACCTTACACATACTCATGTCTTTTACATAAACTATGCAACCTCTAATACAAGTCCACCAGACCCAGGGGCGGATAGACCCAGGGGCGGATCTACATGCATTCATATGGTATCACATACAACCATAGATTTGGTTACATGAAATGTACATTTTTTAGAATTTGTAATGGTGAAACAATAGATTTGGTTGTGGAACCATAAATGTTGAAAGGATAAGGGTCTGTGTGTAAATTTTATAAATATATTTATTTGCTATAAAAAAATTTTGAATCCACCTCTGACCAAACCTCTTATATGAATTTACAGAATTCTCAAATCTTGATAAGAGAGAGAGAGTCTGGTCTGCATGCTACTGATAAGACAATTGTTGTGGGAGTTGAAGGTTAGGATCGAAGGCATATGCTGGTATGCGGTGGTCACGGATTTAGTTCAGGCGTGCCTTTGAGTGCGATGTGAGAATGTTATGCTGGAACTTTTCCTGGGATGAATCGATCAGGCTATTAAAGAAAGGAAAGAAAGTTCATACCTCCAATACAAGTCCACCAATCTTGTTAACATAGACACCAACTTCTCATATCTCTTTTCAACAATAGAAATAGAAAGACTGTGAATATTTTTTAGAAAATGTTGTATTTATTTTTTTTCCTAAGGTATACATCTATTCTTTTTAACTACAAACTACCATTAACAAACTATTTATATAATTGACTAAATATACAAGTCAAATTACAGTTGAATACAATGTTGACTATGTTGACTTTAAGTTCGATGATCTCGGATAACAATAATATTTAACCAAACAGCGCGATATACGCCACACTTAGAAAAAAATTCAAAATTTTCAAAATTACGTTTTTTGCTGAAAATGATTTCAAAGGGTTTTATTCTAACGTCTATAAAATAATGGATAATAATAACGAAATAGAAATATGTAATAATAATTAACAGAATTAAAAAAAATTAATAATAAATAAACAATACTTAATAAAAATTAACAAATAATACGGCTAATAATAATTAATAACTAAATACCTATAAAAATTAATAAGACAAATGATGACTTATTATAATTAATAATTAATCTTTAATACTCAAATTTATAAATTAATTAAGATAAATTAATAATTAAAAATTTAATGTAACTAAGGTAAAATATTAAGGGTATAATAGAAAAAAGTGGAAAAAAGTTTATATATCTTATTAAAATGTTACTTTAAATAGTGTTCCAATAAGATAACTTATAACCTAGATTTCATTCATTCAAAGGGAGTTTTCATAATAAGCTCAAAAAAATAAGTTAGCTGGTATAGAAATTGTAGTTTTCATCCCTATAATTTGCTATTCATTGCTATTTTCATCCTTATGGTTTATAATTATTGTCGTTTCGATTTATTTGGTTTAAAATTCTTTGTTGTTTTAGTCTCTTTTACCTATTGATAGGAATTTACAAATTATAGGGACTAAAATCATAATTTCTAAAACCTAGGGCTAGAATTAAAAAATCATAGGACAAAAACATAATTTACTCTTTTATTTATTTAATATGTTTATTTGTGAGTTTTTTACTTAGTGGTATTTTAATGTTATATCTAATTTATTTAGGTCATCTTTTAGGATTACACATAGGATGATAGACACTTGAAAAGGGACTAATTTTGTAAGAAAATTGGATAATTAAATAAAATTCGTCAAAAGTACCGTTCTGAGATCGTCAAGATTATGATCAGTTTAGCGGTACTCAAAAGAAAGATAAATCGAGAGTTCAGGTCTAACAAAAAGTGATGGTGTGGATGAATATTTATTGTATATAAATAATATATATACTTCAAAAAATAATTCAAATCGAGGAATTGTACCCAGTTTTACGATAAGAAAACACCACTCTAATAATTTGAAAACTCGAACCAGAAAAAGAAAACAAGGGAACATAATCGATTGGACCCGAGAAAAATTGACATGACCCACTATTGGAATATGGTTTTAATGTATTGTTTGATAAACATAAGTTAACTTATTTTAAATACATATTTAGATAGATATAAACCAGCTTAAAAAAAATGAAAATTTAATGGTTTTTCGTTAAAAAAATAGTTTAAAGAAATTAGTTTTAAAATAAAAAAGTTTAACAAATTCTTAATTTAAAAAATAGTTTAAGGAATAAATTATTGAAGTTTTTGGATTTTTTAAAGGACAAATTGCATGAAAAAATAATATACTTTAAATTTATTCTTATTTTAGGTAATATAATTTCAAAACTTCCATTTTAATATCTAAGATGTAAAGTTTTAAACATTTAAGCATCCGAATAACCCGGTGACTCTAATTTTAAACTAAAAAAAGACTAATTTTAGATCTAAAAAAATCGACGTCACTAACCATGTCAGCAAATAATACCGAGTTGGATACCGCATCAACATGATAATCGGAACCAGTTATCCGGATACTTAAATGTTTAAAATTTTACATTTTAAATACCAAAATGGAAGTTTTAAAAGTATGTTACCCAAAATAAAAATCAAATTAAAGTACGTTGCTTTTTCATGCAATTTGTCTAATTCTAAATAAATAAACCATTAAAATATTGAAGAATAATCGAATAAAAGACGATAACAATTACATAATCACCACCACCACCACCACTTTTCCTTCTCACGCCTCTTCTTCAAACGCAGACGCCGGAAAAGTACGAGACAACCCCGCCGGAGTTCCAAACGTTATCTTCCCGGAATCATTGATACAGATATCGGAAATCGTCACCCAAATCAGAAGCTCTTTGCTCTTAACACCTGTTAAATTCCGCATCCGACGGTCCTCAATCACCGCCGTCACTTCGCTATCGTACGACACTTTCCGGCCAATCGCACGGAAGAGGTGGTTCGTCTTCTTTTTCCGGCGAACCCAAACGAATCCTGTGGAAGCGTTGTGACCGACCTCCGTAACATCGTTCATCGGAATCAGGCCTTTTGGAAGGGAGAATTTCGCGAGGACCTCCTGCGTTTTCTCCTTGCAGATCGCTTCGCCGGTGTAAACTTGAGCGTTTTGACGGTGAGATTCGATTTCGATATGTTGTGACGCCATTTTTGGGGTTGTGAGGTTGGGTTCTAGGGTTTCAGGAAGGTATAAATTGAGTGGCAAAGAGGGCTACGTGTTGAAACGTGTAAATAATATTATTCCATCAAAGACATTTTTTTTTAATTTAAAATAATATTTTATTTTATTTTATAAGAGAGACGTGTTTACAAAGATTCTTTATAAAGTGTAATTTTGATCTTTTAACATTTGTATTTCTAAATTTTAGAAATTTAAGGGACGTTTAGTTTGCAAAATGATTTATTAAGGAATAGAGTTTGTCGAAGGAATTGGAATTTGGAAGGAATTGGAATTTGGAAGGAATTGAAATGGAATGTTATCAAGTTTGATCAAGTGTTTGATTAGCAGAAATAGAATGGAATATGTCTTATGAATCGGAATGTGTCTGTTTTGTTTGCAACAGAATTGAAATCCGTCTGAATTGGAATCTGTTTCTACTTCTGCACAAGGACGAATATCTGCTTTTGCACACGGACGAATATTTGCTCCTGCTTCTCCACAGGGATGGAGATTGAACCGCATGATGAAAATCCTACGATTTCGATGAGAAGAAAAAGAACAATCGATGACTGTTTCTGCTTCATTTTCAAACGACGGGAGAAAAGGAACAACGATCGATCTCAGAGGGTTTTGATTCCGACGTTTTCAAATGATCGATTTCTGAAATGAAAATCCTCCTACTTCTACTTTTGTTTTGTTTTCAGATGATTGATTTCTGAAATGAAAATCCTTCTGCTTCTGTTTCGTTTTCAGATGATCGATTTCTCCCCCAATGTCTCAAAGGGTTTTGATTTCAAGGTTCGATTTCATCATCGATCTCCAGAATGGAAGCAAAATTTGGGTAGTCGAGGAATGGAAGTAGTCAAGAGACAATTGTCATGGGGTATTTTTGTAATTTACACAATTTTAGATTGAATGGATTTCAATTCTATCAGTTTTAGGAAGGAATGATGAAATCCTCAAATGATGGAATCTTTGGAATTCAATTTCATTTCATGGGCAACCAAATGTTGGAATTGAATTTGGTCAATAGAATTAACCATTCCAATTTCATCAGATTTTGATGGATTCCGACGAACCAAACGCCCCCTTAACAGTTTTGGTCCCTTTGTCTAATGGTTGTTAACCTTTTTTGTTAAGTCGAGTTAAAAGAATGGTATTTTAATCATTTTTTTTTCAAAATAAAGGATCAATAAAATAATTATACTCAACTCTAAC